GGTTTGTGTAACATTGTAACTATCGTTTGATCCAACTATAACTTGTTAGGTGAACATGTACATATTGTGTTTATTTAGCAAGAAATACAGTAGGTCCCACTTCGTTTTGTCGCCTTTCACGCGTGAATCACACGAGACTCACGTGTGATTCACGCGTCTTTTATTTATTTTTTCCCCAGTGATGCTGCAATGACCCAAACAACCACCAGGTGTTACTTTTGAGCAGGGTTAGGAGAATTGGCTTCTCATCGGTCTTTCTTCTCTGTTCACCGGACAACTTTCTGTGGCTTTATAGCTCAATGATAAAGAGGTGTACTCTGGAGTGAGAGGACTCGGGTTCAAGTACAGTCTATGACACTTTTGATTGTGTTGACGTTTACATTTTTCTAAAACATATTTAGTAATTAGGCCAACACATTTAAAATAGTTGCTAGACTGTAGTAAACTGTTGTAAACTTCACAATCTGCACCAACCAAACTGCAGGAAAAAAATTCAACTTTATTCAGTAACGGAGTAATCTGATTCATATACTCCCCCCGCTAATAAAAACTGAGGATTGGCCGGGGCTCGAACCCCGATCGTCCAAGCGAAACAGCTGATATGGTCCTGTCCTCGATAAGTTACAGATTTGCGGGGATGACTTCAACAGAGGTAAGACATGTTACTGTTTTGTATGATATTTAGACCAAATCAAATCTATATTTTCCAAGATGTGATACTTCAGCAAATGTAAAGCAAAGTGAATTATCAAAAGCCTGAAGCCACATTATATTCACACAAATGAACAACATTTCAAAGGGGAACAAAAAAGTGTCTATTATGTATATATAAACGTAAGCCTAACTGTAATAATACAATTCCACAGATAGAAATGCTTCCATGACAAGCCAAAATCATCTTTTCATTGGGCCTTATAAGGCTAGCGTAGCATGAGACTTTTTGTGGTATATTTACTACTCATAAACATAAATCAGTGAAGTCACTGTTATTTTGCAGCCAAGACAAGCTAACATTAGCAACATTATTATTCCCATAGAAAATACAGCATAATTACCACTGTTACTGTTTTGTTTTTATTATTGTTATTACTGACACTAGTCTGCTACTAATACTACACAAGTTGTCTGTAGGTATAAAACTATATCAACTGTTCTGATAAATTCAAAATATTTTTCGATGAAGTTTGTACAAAACACACATTCCAGAACAGTGACATCTAAATCTTTTTGCTTTTCCTTCCAGGACTCCAGCACAGTTGAATCTGTAGTTTCTGAGAGCAGTGACTTTGAATGGGGGAGAGGAGGAGGCAGACGAGCAGCAAGAAGAGGAGGAAGAGGAGCAGCAAGAGGAGGAAGAGGAGCAGCCAGAGGAGGAAAAGGAGCAGCCAGAGGAGAGGCCAGGCAGGAATGAGAAGAGCAGGACATGTGGGTTATAAAGACGGGGCGTCTTTATAACCCACATGTCCTGCTCTTCGTTTATTCGTTCCACAGTAGGGAATTAAAACTAAAATGCAACTCATCACCACTTTAGAAATGAGTCTTTCTTTTATTTCAATGTTTGGGGGAAATTTTTTTATATTTGACATAATATAAATAAATGTGCTGTGTCCATCTTTGATTGCTGTCAGCTTCTGTTCAGGGACCAGATAAAAAAGTCCTAGAAAAAGAAAGAAAAATATTTTATATCATAGAGACTTGTTTTCCACTTGATTATCATCACTACCTGTCCTCTGTTGTGTCTGCTCCAGTTCAGCTGCAGGAGGAGGGATGATGAGGACAGAGGACCCATGGCCCTGGGGTCATCTGCTTACATTTTTTGAGAGTCCCCCAAGCAGAGCTGAGGCGCTGGTCTGGGATAGAGCTGTAGTCTTTAGTCTCCTTCACAGTGTAACGCTAAGACTTATTCTGTAGACATCAGTAGAAATAATATATTTCTTTATTGCTTTTATACTGTATCTTGATAATAAAGTATGACTTACGATATTTGGCCTTTGCTGCTCACATGCACTGGGCGATGGTTATGGTGGTTGTTGTCTAATGCAGCGAGGAGTGTACGAGCTTCATAGGCGCCATAAGTAAATCCAAAACGCTTCCCTGCGTACATCAGGACAGGGTTTTGGAAAGATTCGAGCTTCGAAGTTGTCCTACAGAACAAAGATTATTGTAACGTCAAACATACAAATAAATTCGATCTCTGTGTAATATAATATACTTTGTAGTATTAAAACGGCAGTTCCTGTACATTCCCACAAGATGTCACCCACATGACTTATCGAAAAGTGAGCAACTTCTCAATATCCTTCAGCCACCTCCGGTTAAGAACCACGTGGAATGGGCTCTTTGTGCTGTTTATCCTCCAGAGGCGCATATGGTGAAGTATGCCTCTCCACACACCCTAAATGTATACAATACGTTGTATATCAAAAGTTATACCATGTCACCACATAAAGAGAAAATTTACATTATCTAGTGACGTTATAAATATCCAATGTTCATACAGACCATAAACTCCTCTCTGGTGCTTGTGTGCTGACAAGCATACCAGAAATGGTTAAAGATGTCCTCAATCCATACAAGTAAAGCCTTTTGACCAGAAACGATTCAGCCTGATTGAAGACACCACAATTATATTTAAAAAAGTCTTACCGGACCTGTGTTAAATACAATTAAACACTTACGATGTCCATGGTGTCTAGCTCCATCGTTGTGTACGTACAGCACATAGCAGAGTGACCTTTTTGGAAAAATATATAGATTGTGGGGGAAATAATGACAAACATTTCAATAACAACACACCGATATTAATGAAATACCACAAAGATTTGTGCATTACCTGGTAAGTAGATCCTCCCGTCAGCTAAAACATAAACACAAAAGGCATGTAAGCATACGTATACACGGGCTTAGAAATGAATATGCTTACTTACCAAGGGCAACAACGTTGTCTTTGGACTCTAATCTGTTGATGATAGCAGTCCTTTTCTCCTCCCAAAACTGCTTTATTGTTTTTAGACAGTAGGTTCCCTGGACTGCAGAAGATGTTGAGGAGGCCACATGCAGATATTCATGAATTCTTCCCTGTAGGACAAAATACTTTTTAGTTGACGGTGGATGAGTGGTAACCTGTAAGCAGAAGTTGCATTTGGCAAACTTACCTATCAGATTCGCCTGCAGTCACTGAACTGGGGGGATGGGGCCCCATCAACACCTCTGCTGATGGGCCATGGGGTGTGGACGTGAGTGGTCCCTTTGATAGTGTGCCTCTCGTAACTACAACAATAGAGCCACTGTTACTGCTAGCGATGGCAATATCAAGTATTGCAGTGAGACAATTACAATAACACGCGTATGTTTCGAAGACTCTACACGCTCAACAACTAACTAGTTACTATTGCGATTGCAATGTACATACATTTAAAAGGGAAAATGTTCGTAAGGTTCTAGAAAAAGCCCCGTTTGTAAACAAACCGCAGTTCACTGGGCTTTGCCAGCTAATGCTAGCTAGTGTGTTAGTTTGACGCAGAGATCTTGCTAGAAATGCGTATTACAGATAGTATTTAGAAAATGACCCATCATTCTCTCACTCTGAGCACTTTCCACAAATAAAAACTTAGATGTAGATAAAAAAAGTATTTCGCTACGTAGCCTTTCAATGCACGGACACCGCTGCTTTGAAAGCATATACACATGTGTTTAGAGATAATGTCTTACCTTTCAAGCAGAAATGATGCCAACTGTGGGTCTTTTCTCATGCCCAGAGGTTCTCTCAGAGTTTTCAACCTCTCAAAAGCAACTCCAATGTTTACCCTCGTTTGTTGCCTACTGCGGTCAGACTCGAGTTTCCCCCTTTTGGTCACACTTCGCGTGTCTATGGTCCGCGCTCGGAGCCCAGACGGCAGTGCGTTCACTGAGCTGTCAGAGCGGGGGTCACAGCAGCTGCTCCCGGGGCCAGAGCGGAGGATGTAACGTAACGTTCGTGACATCCGACGGGTTTTCCCAGATCGCATCACATATATACGTTAATGCAATTTAATTATAAAGATTAACATTAGTACAAAATATGTATATGTTGTCTGTTATGCTCTTACTTTGAAAAAGCATTCAAAAGCAACACATATACATTCACATGCACGGCTTGAACACACAGCCAATTTTACACATTTCCTTTTGACAAGGAAAGAAGATAACAATCTGATAACGTTACGTAATTGCACACAAGCAACCAAAATATGTGCAACCAAAATTGCCTCAGACAAGAATCGAACCTGGGTTCTCCAGATCCCAGTCTTTAATGCTAACCATTGGGCTAGACAGGTTTGCACGCAGTATGATACCTGAGCGTCTAAGTCGCTGGCAGAGCTAAAGCGGACTTAACCTGCCACCTTGTGGCGATAAGATGTAACATTTTTCACGCAGCTGCGTGATTCCCGAAAAGCGTGAATGAAGACGACAAAACGAAATGGGACCTACTGTAGTTATGATGACTGCACCACATGACATGGTGTTGGGTCAACATGAAATATAAAAGTGTGCATAACAAATCCACAGTTCAAATAAAATGTGGGAGCTGAAAACCTTTCATTGTGGTGTTCCACCCCGACAAATTGTCAAATTACATTTTCCCATGTGTGGATACAACAAAGTATTGAAAAATCCAATTTTAACATATTTACCCATCAATGGTGTCAGGGCAAGGGATGGAAAAAAGCAAACTTTTCTTTTTTAAAACCACAATTTGTGCAACACGTAAAACTGTTTATATGCGCAAAATTTTATTTATTATATAATGTACACCATAAAACAAGTACCCAACTTCATTGATTTGGATATTTAACTTTTTATATATTCTGCCGTATATCTTTGGGGAAAACATTCATATACTGGTACTCAATGTAAGCAATTCTACACAATTTACCAGTGAATATCCCTAAATCTAAACAGTAATCTCAGAGCACTTAACAAAACACAGATCCATGAGGGATGATAAATGTCCATAAATATTAAAGCACCCACCCACCAAGGGGTATCCACCTGGGGGGGACAGGTGTAAAAAGGGGTGTCGGGTGTAAAGAGGGGTGTGAGGAGAGGGGAGACGGGTGTAAGGAGGGAGGGGGGAGAAAGGTGTAAGGAGGGGGGTGACGGGTGTAAGGAGGGGGGTGACGGGTGTAAGGAGGGGGGAGAAAGGTGTAAGGAGGGGGGGGAGACGGGTGTAAGGTGGGGGGAGATGGGTGTAAGGAGGGGGTAGACGGGTGTAAGGAGGGGGGAGACGGGTGTAAGGTGGGGGGAGATGGGTGTAAGGAGGGGGTAGACGGGTGTAAGGAGGGGGGAGACGGGTGTAAAGAGGGGGGACTGTTGTAAGAAGTGAGACAGGTGTAAGGAGGGGGGAGACAGGTGTAAGGAGACTTGGCTCCAACAGGACGACTACGTTAGATTGAATGAGTGCACTCCTCCGACGCATGTTAACTACCAGAAAGCGAGAACTACAGGTCGCGGCGGTGGTGTTGCGATTATATCACACACCAACTTGGTTCTTTGTCCCAAAACCAACAATGCTTTTCACTCGTTTGAAAACATAACACTTTCAATCACCTGTCCTGGGTGGAGAAAACAAAAAGCGGTGCTATTTATAGTTTTATACCGACCTCCTGGTCCTTACAGCGAGTTCCTAACAGAATTCTCTGACTTAATTTCAAACCTAGTTTTGGAATGGGAAAACATAGTTATTACTGGAGACTTCAATATACATGTGGACGACAGCACCGACAGCTTAAACAAAGCTTTCAGCGCCGTACTAGATGGTGTTGGTTTTACTCAGAATGTTGAGGAACCTACTCACATTCATAACCACACCTTGGACCTTGTCCTGACCTACGGCTGTGATGTCTCCAATGTTGACATCCAGTGTCAAAGCTCGTTGCTGTCTGACCATTTCTTGATCACGTTTGATCTCGATTTGGAGGACTTTCCTGTCCTGCAAGATAAAACCATAATGAAAATAACCTTAAATGATAAATCTATCACAAGGTTCAAAGAACTAATACAGCCTATGTTGAATACTGCTGCAGGTGAACCTGTTCACAGCTGCTGCAGTCCCTCAGTCATTGACCAAACGGTGGACAACACTATGGAGTCTTTAAAATCTGCATTAAATGCAGCAGCTCCTTTAAAACAGAAAACTATTAGGATTAGATCATCGTCGCCCTGGTACAGTGTTCAACTCCACACTTTAAAACAGGACGTCAGAAAATTGGAGAGGCTATATCTCCACTCCCACTCGGAGCCTGTCCACAGGGAGTGGAAAGCAGGTCTCCAAAATTATAAGAATGCCCTTCGCAGGGCTCGAACTCAATACTATTCAACTTTAATAGAAGCGAATAAAAATAACAGTAGATTTTTGTTTAGCACCGTCGCTAAACTCACAAACTGCCATAGCGCAATCGAGCCTAAAATTCCAAGCTCACTGAGCAGTGTCGACTTTCTCCACTTCTTTAATAATAAAATTACATCCATCCGTGACAAACTGGAGGAGGTTACTCCTGCTGTTGGTAGTGGACAAGCTGAAGCGGCATACGTGACTTCCCACTTAGACTCTTCAGTGGGCCTCGATAAATTCATGGCTGTGAGCCAAGCAGAGGAGATCTCTGTGGTCGCATCCTCAAAAGCCTCAACTTGCATGTTAGACGCAGTCCCGACATGGCTCTTCAAAGACATACTTCCTTTGATAATTGAGCCTATCGTAAATATAATAAACGCATCCATACAATGTGGCTACGTCCCACAAGCTTTTAAAACCGCGGTAATCAAACCCCTTCTGAAGAAAACAAACCTGGACCCAGAAATACTTACAAACTACAGACCGATCTCAAACCTCACTTTGATATCTAAAATCCTGGAAAAACTTATAGCTGAGCAGCTTCGCTGCCACCTGCAGGAAAATAATATGTTTGAAGTCTTTCAATCAGGATTCAGAGCTCATCATAGCACTGAAACGGCACTAGTCAAAGTCACAAAGGACTTACTACTAGCTGCTGATAATGGACAAGTGTCAGTGCTGGTCCTACTGGACCTTAGTGCTGCATTTGACACAATCGACCACAGCATTCTACTGCAGAGGCTAGAATGTGATATAGGTCTTAGAGGAACAGCCCTTGGCTGGTTTAAATCCTATTTATCAGATCGGTATCACTTCGTCAACGTAAATCAGAACTCGTCACCTTATTCTGGAGTAGAATTCGGTGTGCCGCAGGGTTCGGTACTCGGACCGATTCTTTTCACTCTCTACATGCTGCCGTTAGGAAACATTATTAAAAAGCATGGAATTAATTTCCACTGCTATGCAGATGACACACAGCTTTATCTGTCGATGAAGCCAAATCAGACAGATCAGCTAGAAAAGCTTAGTGCCTGCATAAAGGACCTTAAAACGTGGATGACTCTTAACTTCCTACTTCTCAACCCGGAGAAGACAGAAGTAATCCTACTCGGTCCGAAGCACCTGCGTGACTCCCTCACTAACCAGATAATTACTCTCGATAATGTCAGTATTATACCCAGTAACACTGTGAGGAATCTTGGAGTCATTTTCGACCAAGAACTCTCCTTCAAGGCTTATATAAGCCAAGCAACTAAAACGGCGTACTTCCACTTACGGAACATCGCTAAAATTAGGAATTTCCTTCCTAAAAGTGACGCGGAAAAACTTATTCATGCGTTTGTCACCTCAAGGCTCGACTACTGTAACGCTTTACTGGCAGCGTGCCCTAAAGCGTCTTTGAAGAGCTTCCAGCTCGTTCAGAATACAGCAGCTAGGATCTTAACAGGTACCAAAAGGAGGGAGCACATAACTCTGGTGTTAAAATCACTCCACTGGCTTCCTGTGGAGTACAGAATAAAGTTTAAAATCCTTCTCTTAACATATAAAGCCATAAATGGATTGGCTCCCTCTTATCTCCAAGACACGTTAGTGTCGTATCAACCAAGTCGAGCGTTGCGCTCACAAAACGCCAGACGTCTGGTGGTCCCTAAGGTCTCAAAAATCACTGTTGGCGGCAGAGCATTTAGCTACCAAGCTCCTTTACTGTGGAATCAGCTTCCCATTTATGTTAAGGAAGCAGATACGGTCTCCACATTCGAGGCCAGGCTTAAAGCACTCTACTTTAATTTAGCATATAATTAGGTAATATATAATATATGGTGTATATATTATATATATATGCTGTATTATGTTATATATTATGTTATATATTATACAATATATGTATTATGTTATGTATTGTGTTATGTTGTATATTATGTTATATATTATGTTGTATGTTATGTTGTGTATTATATATGATATATATGGTATGTATGGTAAATATGATGTATATGATATATAATATATAATTAGGTTTGCTTGGATCGGTTTGCACACCTGGTGTGCAATCCATGAATCTTGGTGCTGTAACCTAGACTAGCCTAGCCATGGCTGCTGCTGCTGTCTCACCTCCTTTCAGATACGCTCTCTTTATTCAAGGCTAGGTTTAAAACAGTCCTCTTTAGTTTAGCATATGGCTAGGAAGGTAAGACTCAGGGAAGGCTAAACTCCTCAGAGTGTCAGTCAAGCTGCATAGGGAGTCAGTTTGCTGGGAGAAGTATGGTAACTTGAGCACTATCCTCTCCTCCTTCCTACTTTATCTGTTTAGCATTTTTAGGATTCTGACTGTAGTTTGTTCATTGCTATTCACCCGTTGTCCCATTGTCTGTTTCATGGTACGATGACGGGATCTCTGAGCCTGGCCTCCTCCATCTACACCTGCGGACTGCCCCGCCCGACCCGCCTGGGAGTGCTTCAGTCCTGCACCGGACCTGTCCACGTTCAGCGGCCACTGGTCCACGTTCTGTAGCTAGCTTAGGTCCTAGATCATTAGCCTGTCCGTCCGGAGGAGCGGATCCCTTTCTCAAATGGGTCTCCCTCCCTGTGGGTTTCCCTAGTTCTCCCCAAGGTTTCTCACTTTTTCCCACTGGGTTTTTTAAGAGTTTTTCCTTGTCGATGCAGGAGGGTCTTGTTGGACAGTTAGTGTCCAACAGAAAGGATTGGTGATGATCAGGACACTTTAGCATTCTACAACATGTATCGACATTTTCTTCTGTGTGTGCTTTATATTCTTCATGTGTTTTAACTGTTGATTCTCTGACCTGTGTATGTGATTTCAATGGTTTTGTTAAGTCCTCTGAGATGACTTCTGTTGTGACCTAGGGCTATACAAGAATAAATTGTATTGTATTGTATTGTATTGTATTGTAAGGAGGGGGAGACAGGCCCATGCATAAACAAAAACTTAAATTACCGTGTATTCCTTCATTTGTCTGGCTCTTCGTTCAGGTAAACGCACAGGACTTTAAGTAGGCACTCTCTCTTGGCATCATTGGAGTGTCTGAGATTTCGTAAAAAGAAACACAAGACAAAATAAAGAACGTTTAACTGTGGGTAAATAATGGGTCAGAACGTTGAATGAGGCTTTTAAATAAACAATCAGATACTGGTAGCACCTTTCCTCAATATCAGAGGAAGCACACCATCGGCCAGACCGACAGCCTACTCTCAGCCTGAGATTATCATACTACTTTTCAGTATCCCACTTCCCTTTATTCCTTCAGTACTTCACACCTCCCTCTTAACATTATAGGCGTGCAAAGACATTTTCCTCCTTTATAATCACACCTTGGTTAGGGGTACTAAGATCTTCTCTATTCTTTTTCCTTGAACGCCACCTTTACTCCCAAACACCCACATCAGGTTGGACAACTGAGCATCAAGCTCAGAGAAAAACGTTGACTGAGGACTGATGGTTGTTATTCTTTAGAACAATAGCTGAAATGAAAATATATATATATAAACAAAAACAAATAATGGTAGAACTGGAATTTAAAAAAAAATAGTTGAACAAGATAAAAGTATATTGTAATAACAGAAAACATGTACCTTGTAGTTACCGACCTAAAGTATAAAGAACAGACCTGGTGAAATGTCTTTTGATCCACTGTATGCTCATTGACTGTATATATTAACGAACGGAGTCACGCCTATCTCTGCCGTTCTTACAAATGGGCCAAAAATTGTGCTCTGCTGGAGCTATACAAAATGGCCGCGAGTGGTCCCGCCCACAAGAAAATTGTGAAAAGACGCATCTGCGCATGCGTCAGCCGGCGAGAGCTCCATTCATTTGAACGAGTGACTTCAAAAATTCACAACGAGTAAACTAGAGTGGTCCAAAACAATTCACCCCCCTCAGCATTGACACACATGTGGAACGGAGCTTTGTGCCAAGAGCCAGCTTTTGGACCATCCTGTAAAGACGTTTTTGAGAGGTCTGCCAATGCTATATGTTAGCATTAGCTAATTCTTATTCCGGGTCCACCCCCACAGGCCCGGGGTGGTATTGCAAGCATGTCAGCGCACGTCATTTTGGCCACTTTTGAGCCGGGACCCGCCCCCACTGTGTATGCTACACAAGTGTGTCAGTGGCAATCTTTAATGTATAGCCTAATTATACAAAGTGTTTTTTATGAACACGTGCAGTGAGTAATTTAGAGTGGTAGCCTACACATGGTCTTGTCTGAGTAGGCACCAAAAGACTGTGCCAAAACTTACACAGGGTGGAACAATCTACTATAATATATACATGAGATTAGCCTTAGCTGTTCGTGAATGCAAAATGCTAAGCGCTAGCAAAAAGCTAGTTGAGTGCTAGCACTCAAACAGAATTACTGAGGCAAATTCTGCGACTGAGTAAATTATTTGTCTGGAGATACGTTACTAAATTTTAGATGGATGCAGCTTCGAGGTGCGTGCCAATTCGAGTGCTCGTCTCCCCTCCGTACAAAACAGCCTTGTTTTGTGAAAGCAAAAAGTTCAAGCTAAGCGCTTCGAAGCGCGTGTCAAGTGCAGCCTCTCAGAGCGCATGGTTTGTCTCGTCTCATGCTTGAACGCGGAAACCGGAAGAACTCTGCCACCTCCTGTCTGGTGTTGTAAGTGCAGCTGAAATCCAAAACCTTTTGAAATGATTCTTGTGAAATCTATTGTCCCCTATATCATGTTGAAATTACATAACATGAATTTGTTCAAGTACCAATATATAGTTTTTTAGTTACAGTAACATGTTTGATAGTGGATAATTTAACATGCCCTCATGTTGGGTTTTCTAGTGTGCAACATGCTGCTGACAGAAGCCCTGGTGTTGTAAGAATGGGTCAAATGCAGAGGACAAATCTTCTTGCAGGAAAAATGAGGCATACTTCCTTAAACCAGCCCCCTTGAGGAAAAAGAAAACAAACAACGTCTGTGTGGATCTGGACCTCGAGTCTGCAAATAAAGTTATCTATTTATGCATTTGTAACTCAATAAGCATAATCAATCAATCAATCAATCAATCTCTTCAGTCCTGGATCAACAACTTGTCCATCCATGGGAGAGTGTTTCCTTTCCCAGTGATGATCTGAAATATTTAAAGACCTTATGCAGGGTTTGTATCAACTCCTAAAATCTTTCAAAATCACTCTTTTTTGTCCAATCATCCCAAATCAAGAAAACACCATAGCAACAGCCTTAAAAACGAGAAGAAGAAAAAACAGAGTTCTTGCTTGGTGATGTCATAGCGGGTCTCCTCCATACTGAACTTGTTTGTTTACATTTTGCTAGTATTTTTTTTTAGCTAAATCTGTGGAAATTCAAGATGACGTGTTTCAATGCGCTGCTCACATACGCATTTCAAAAGAAAAGAAAGAGTCTTTGGACGGCACCAAGGTAACCTTCCCTGCAAGCTGAATTCTCGCAGTATTTGTGAGTTCACAAACACTCGAGAATACATCTTGCCCCGCTTCCACCAACCCTTTTCGAGTAGAACATCTAGGTGTTCAAGCCAATCACGCGCCAGTCTGGGGGTTTAGGGCGGGATATCCGGGTTTGACGAAAGCAAGAAGTGCCGGGCCGAAGCAAAACAAACATGGCTACGCAGGAGGACGGACGCGTAGCTGAGGCTATCAAGTCAGTTTTAGCAGAATCTCCAATTTCTTTTTTGAAAGATGAACAGCGAGAGGCGCTTTGTGCGTGGCGTTGACGACATAATGTTACCGGGATTGGTTTAAGTCAAACCTTGGTAGGCGGGCACACAGCGTCACTTCGCCCAATCAGCTTGAAGTATTCTGCTGCTTATCCCTCCTTTCCCAGAAAGGATTCTCCTGCAGAAGTCCCAGATTGATATTGTGGAGAACGCATTAGAGTTCTACACAATCATCAATCTGGCTCTTGCCAGGTTAGCACCAAGGGAGGAACAGGGAAAAGAGGAAGAAGACTACACACTTCTTGACGAAGTCGCAGAGGATGGACAAATACAAAACTCTGTTTTGTTCAAAACTTTGTTCATAGCTATGTTATGAAACGCTACACCGAGCGGCGCCAGGATCTATTATAATAACAGGACTGCTGCGCTGTCAATTCAATCTGGAAAGACCACAAGACATGAAATGCATTTGAATGTTTTATTCATTGATTGTTTTGCCCCGGTAGCAGCACTTGGTCTGCAAAGCTCCTTGATTGTGCGCACTTAAGATTCCCCAAAAAAAGAGCGGTGAGTTTTCTATGGGTTTGGCAGAATGAACTTGTGCGAGCCGTGAAGCATGAGCGCGAGACTGCTCAGCGATGCGGGGCGGGTGCAGGAGATTATGCTGCATGAGTGTGGAATGATGGTAAGGATGGCAGCAGTTGATGCGAGAAAGGATGCCACCATCAGGAAATTTAATCCATGCATGCGTTGACGAAGAACCGCAGAGCTGCACAGCTGGTGCACGACCTGATGTATGGAGAAAGGTACATACATCAGGTCACCTGCCCCGGTGCTGTCAGAGATGGCGCCGTGGCGCCGTAAAGATGGCGCCGTGGCAAGAGCTCTGGTGTGTGTCGTCTGGCGCACACCGGGGTAGTCTTGCACAGTTTTCCAATGTGGTTTTACTGCAAATGGCAAATAAATGAATCTGAATCTGAATCTGTCAGGGAGAATGAGGAAGACTACACGGGCTGATAATTTTTGCCGGAATGTATTTCAGATAGGCATTAATTTATTATCTGTGTTGCAATTTTGGGTAACACTTTATTTATTTTTTTTACAAAACCTGCATAAGGTCTTTAAGGACAAGGTCATAATGGACCAATGGCTCCTGTTAGTTATTATTGCATTTCCTGTTTTCAAACTGTTTGATTCTCTGATCTGTTGTCAGTGATTTCACAACTTTTCTAAAGTCATTTAATTGAAACGAACACGCTGAGCAGTAATTATGACAGTCTGGAACACAGATTTGTGTTTTGTATAATTTCTGATCCTAAATTAATGATGATAAAAGTCATGGGCCAGTTCTTTGTGTGGTTTGACCTGGTGCAGTCCAACGCTTCCCCTTGTCTCGTCAGATTATGCAGAGTACAAACCAGATTATCTACAGCTGCTCTGCTTTGGTTGTGGAAAATCAGAATTTCTATCATCGCAGTCGGAGTCACATGTAGTTTAGAATCGTGTTTGTGAGCAGAAGTGTGACTTTCTGTGTGTGTGTGTGTAACCTGCGGAGCATCTCCCACAGTCAAAGTGGTCCTGACCTATTTTCTTCCTCTAACTCTCTACAGTCAAACACTCCTTCCCCTGCTACGGTTGTGTTGCATTTGCACATGAAAAGACACAGATAAAATAGGTTTCATTTAAAATCACAAAAGTGGCATAATAATATTTATATTAGCATAAGAGACTTCCCCCAGGACACAGTGACTGCGGGGAAGGTAGAGGTGTGTGTGTGTGCGTGCGTGCGTGCGTGCGTGTGTGTTACTCTGGGATCTCTCCTGGCACAGGTAAGCCTCAGCGCTTCATATTTTGTTTGTGCACAGAAAAGGTGACAGGATGAGCTTTCTTGGAATCCTCTCGAGGCAGAGCTCCATGAAGCAAAAAAATATAGTATAAGACAAAAATACATATGGTTATAGGGTTGCCAACTGTCCCTTGAAATACGGAATTGTCCCGTATCATAGAAAAACTATGCGTTCCGTATTGAATCGATACGGGACGGCTTATGTATTTTCAGAGCCACCTTAAATGCATCACTCACTCACCGCATGACACACGCACACACAGCAATCACAGTTTAAGCGTCTACCTTTCGGCCAATCAGTGTCAAAGGCTTGATCACAACATTGGTTTAATGTTGACAATCGCCAGCGTGGGCCGTGCCCGCAGCATCAACAGAGCAGAAGTTTGGTAAAGAAGTGTCCTATTGCCAGATTCGTACTTCCGCGGTCAATAGCTCTTTGTTAAACAAAAGTAATTGTGCTAAAATGATCATCTCTACGTTGATTTTTCAAATCCAATGCGAAACTGAGGACAACTAGTTGCCGAAAAGTAGAACACGGGCAACTGACTGAAACTGGAGACCGACTGTTTATCTCCAGTTGTAAGAGCGCGCACATCGACCGATTTCGGCAACTGATCATCTCCCACCATCTCCTCTCAGTTGCCAAAAGCCGCCTTGCAACTAGTTGTCCCCAGTTTCTCTGTCGATGTACGCTAGGCTTTACAGTAAATGGTCTGTAACATAAATAATGTATGTTACAGCATTTGTCTTTTTTATATTTTTTATTACTAATAATAATGCATTAAGTCCTTAACCAGCCAAAGAGTTCCACCTATTTATTAAATTTCATTTTTGACTAAGGATTTTTTTTTTAATATGTAGTCAATAAATTACATTCTAAAAACTGTG